CATTGATAGTTTAAACTATGCTGAGACGTCGGCAGCACCGCGGTATATGTTCATGTTGCAGCATGTGTATCGCCGGAAACCTGAAGCAGTTGGTAAAGGCGCTAAATGCCTTCACAATAGCAGTGAGGCGTTGATTTTGCACAATCACTACAATTTAGGCGCATTGAAGAGTTGTCGTTGGATAAACTTGGAGCCTACAACAGCCCAAATGCAGCACTATCGTTTGCTGGAGAAGTCAGAGAAATGGGAAACGAAGATTCTCGATGAAAGCATCTATCGTTACAAAGACGCTTTGGTGAATAGTGTGGAGCCGGTGTTGAGAAAGCTGTCCTATTTGTCCTAATGGTGATAAAGAGGGCAGCGTAGAATTGATTGTAGGTTTGATTTTAGGAATTAGCTATAGAATTTGTGAATCAAAATTAATAAATTATTAAGTAAGTTACTGGCTTTTTGTTTAAGCGCTCTGATAGAGAGATAGGAGCAGATAATGCTGTTGCAATAATAAGTAATGTTGTTTTTATAAAAGAGCGTTTTGCATTACATATGTATTGAGTGTTGAAGGTCATGAGCAGATCTACATGGCACAAAAACCAGATTGGTTCAGGTGAAAGGGTTTGTTTTTCTGTCTGAAGCCACGCGACGCGATTCTTATAAATAATATTTACTTTTTGGTCTTCAAATTTGGTAGCTGTAAAATAGAAACAAGACTTGAAGAAACGTGAACAAATTATATATAAACAATTATTTATGTATGTCTATTATTGGCCTGCGCACTACCAGCTTCATCGCTAACACAATATTTATACAGTTGGCATGGAATTTGAAGTTAAGAGCTGCTTCCATTCGCCATTTCTCTGCTCGCTGTCTTTGTGCGCTGCTCTCTAATCAAACAATTTATATAGAAAAGCAATAGAAACGGCGTCGGACTAAAGTATTTATCCGTCAAATGGGGAAGTATTATACAAATATTGCCAGTTTGCTTGATCAGCTAGTATGGTTTGTTCGATTTGCTGCTCTCTAACGCTTGACGAATAGTGGGGTTTCAAGTTGAAAGTAGTCTTTGGCTCTACGACACATAGTTAAGTTTATAATATTCTATGGTGTTTTTGTGTGATGGAAGTCCCTAGAAAACACTACACTTGCAAGGAAGCTCGAAAGGGTTGACCGAACTACATGCTCATCAATGTACGAGTATGTGGTGCTTTTAGATCCACACCTACCGTGGCATTAATGCTATTCTCTGTAAAACGCCAATATAAACATGTCACTGAACATTTGAGAATCCTCGTACGTTTTGACTTCATAACTTCGTGCCGCCAAACCAAAATATGGTGGTATGCTGATGAGCCTAAGGGCAGAGGGCTAAGGTTGATAGAGTGGTATAATGTTACTAGCTGTCTATCAACTTCAGTTCCAGACTAACTGACTACTGTAGCTGTTCCCAAGTGTAGCCTCCATTAGAGAAGTGACTATCCACTCTGAGAGCATAGAGGCCGTACTTGCCGTCAGCTCACTAACTGCGCGTTTAAGGCTAGTTAAAGAGTGCCTAATCTCTCTATCAATGACAAAGCATCATTTGATAGAACAAGTATGGCAAGTATGGTTGCTCGATCAAATTGGAATCGCCGATAACTGTGAAACTGACGGGATGGCAAGAAAAGGCATAGATGATATCGTTTTGGTGCTCCGTTCTCTTTATGCGTTCCACTACTGGATAGATAGGCTTGACCAGCGCGGGGCTACCATTAATTCTTGTTTAGTGAGCTCTCTGCCTTCTGTAACGCCTCTATAGTTCTGTTTTAACTCTTCATTGCTCTAATGGCTGTTCGGAACCGAACACCAGCTGCGGAAGCGGTTTGGAAGAACACGAGGTAGGAACATCTCAATACTTCCTTATTAGTTGGGTCGCCTTTGCGAGATCTTGGCTTAAATACTTTAGAGCTCACACCTTCCGATATTCCACTGAGCTGGTAGAAATAAAACCGCTTGGCAAAATTGTATGGGCCTTAAGACGCTTTGTCAACATATAAGATGGGAAAATACAGCTTGTGCAAGAACTGAAAATTTTGAAGAAGATCCGAAGTTTTGATCAGCGATGACGCTGGCTCAATGGGTATGTAAGCAAGCAAAATTGTCGATTTGGAATGAAGAGAAACCTGAAGAGATGCAAGAGCTGCCATTTCATCCCGAAAAAACACCGGTTTCGTGTGATTTGTGAGCCGGTGGAATTATCGGTTCATCATTAACGGTAGTCATCAACAATGACACCATTGAAAACGTAACCGTCAATGGTTAATGACCGCCGTAATTTCGTATCATGGTAACCGACCTCAAATTAAAGCTCGTGATCTCGGCGACATTTGCTTTCAACAAGATGGCGCCACTTCCCACACATTGCATAAATCAATGGACTTATTGAGACAACACTTCTCACCCATTTCCTGTGGGGTATGTAAAGTCTAAAGCCTATGCAACAATTCCGATTTGATTCACGCCTTGGAGCAAAATATCATGCATGTTACTGGCCAGTTACCAGTAGAAATGCTCTAATGATTCATTGAGAATCGACTCATCGACTGAACCATCTGACACGTAGCCACGGCCAACATTTGAAAGAGATAATCTTCAAAAAAATAATGCCACACAATGATTTTTCGAATGATAATAAACATTTTCCATTAACTTTAACTCAAAAACAATGGAGTTACTCAAAAAATCAAAAGAGCTCTCAAATTTTTAATGTTGATAGTGCTGCAGACTCGTGCTATCTTTATAGTTTGTTGTACCTAATAGACTTTCCAGCAATAAAAAAATTATTCTTGCTTCATCTAAAACATTCGAAATGTCATCACTTAATTAATATCACGGCTCAGCTCTGGCTGCGTTAACGCTGTTTGTCAACACTTTTATCAATCACATTCCGGAATTTTTCGACTTTAGTGAACTTTTATTACGCGATCAGTACGAAACAAGTAGGGCTGATGTCGTCGAGTAAAAATATTTTACTACGCATCTCCGCTTTTGCATTTTGGACATTCCTAACATTGGTGATATTTACGACATACCAAATGTCACTGCAAAGCGCTAAGCAAACAGGCACCAGGTACAATGAAACAGTGGTTGCAACGCATCCCCAATTGTTAATGAACGGAAGTAAGCTGGAAAGTAATAACAGTTACCGCATGCTCTTTGAAAATTACAACAAATATGCAGCAAATGAAGCGGACAACACTTCAAAACTACGTCAAGCAGAGCTGCCAAATGTGCCCTTCGATTTGTGGCACCGCCTGGAAGCGTTGCGCCTAAATAGCACTTGCGCCCACGCGCCATCGTTACTAGAGCTGCGCTTTCACAACGATTACTGGCAAGTGTTTCACAATGCCAACGTCACTTATCATCTCTTCAATGCGTATTACGATGCCCGCGCGCATGTTATACAGTCCAGCGCAGTGGTGCGCGTGCTGGCTATGTTGAATGATAAGGAACCACCGAAAAATAAGATCCACTGCCAGTTGTGGTATGACAGTGAGGATAAGCCGATGATTGTGCCCGTGGTAGAGCAACGGCTCGTGTGGCACGTTAAGTGGATTACCGATGCTAATTATTTTCCACATTTACTCACATGCGCAGTACCGTCGGCAATGGGGGAAGCGGTCACACCGCGCGCCGTCTCCTTGGTGATGAATATTTGTGATAGGGCCTCGAATATACTGAGCGTACTATACGAACGACCGACCGGCAATGAGACACAACACGGTTTCGCGATDTGCCTTAAGGGTTTGGATTATCCTAATGYTGATATGGGTCCACGTTTGGTTGAGTGGTTGGAAATGCAGCGCCTGTTGGGCGCACGTAAGGTCATCACCTACAAATTGGTGCTGAATCCGAATTTGGAGCGTGTGCTCGAGCATTATGTGGCGGAGGGTTTTGTTGAAGTGCATCCACTCAGCTTGGGTTTGGAGATGGTCAGCAAACCGTTATATCTTCATGATTATTTGCGCGCGAGCATTGGGAACAAGCGCTCGAACGAGCTGGTGCCCTACAATGATTGTTTCTATCGGAATATGTACAAGTATTCATATATTGTGACTGTTGATATTGACGAGGTGATCATGCCGCTCGGCAATCGCACCAACTGGCAACAGTTAATCGACGAAGCGAAACATTTGCGCACCCCTAACTGTCCTGAGGGCTATGCGAGTGTTTGTGTGCGCAATGTGCATTTCCCTACCGATAGTGTGAACTTTACTGAAACGTCGGCAGCGCCGCAACATATGTTCATGTTACAGCATGTGTATCGCCAGGAACCTGAAGCAGTTGGTAAAGGCGCTAAATGCTTTCAAAATAGCAGCGAGGCGCTGGTTTTACACAATCACTACAATTTAGGCGCATTGAAGAGTTGTCGTTGGCGGGACTTGGAGCCCACGATGGCGCAATTGCAGCACTATCGTCTGCTGGAGAATTCTGAGAAATGGGAAACAAAGATTCTCGATGAAAGCATCTATCGTTACAAGGAAGCTTTGGTTAATAGGGTGGAGCCGGTGTTGAAAAAGTTTTCCTATTTGTGACGTTATTTCTTTAAATGTTTTGATAGATTGGTGAGAACTTATAATGCAATTTTCAATAATAATCAGCAGAATGATTGATTAAGAGCGGAGTGAGTTGTTGTAGTTTCATACCGACCTTTAAGCAAATGCAATGGTACTTATGCATTGCTGTTACCGAAACGAGGTCATATTGGTCGATTATATACAGCGTTAGGTTGTAGTGAGGAAGTCCTCTCCGCCTTTACGAAAGTATTCGTAGGTATAGATAAAGTTTTATTTGTTCCAACTTTCCGAAAACTCAATTTTCGTTTGAAATCCACTTCACAGACTACTGCACTGATCTTTCAATATCCTTGCTAATTTATGTCTCTTCATAATAAATAACCTTAGGCGAAATATCGTAGAGAGTAACTTAAATAAAGAAAAATTATGAACAACTAAAACACAAACATGTTTCAATTTAATAAATATATCAATATATTATCAAAAGTGTACCAAAAAAGTATCGCATCTAAAGTTGTGATATAATGTTCTAATTTTTTCAATTGAGTCGTGAGAAAATCGATTTCTCAATTTTATACGTAAACGTTGGTCAACACTTGTCGATAATAATCGCTTTTGTTTGAAAACATATTTGATCGTTTTACTTATGAAATAATAATCAATATTAATTACTATCGACCGCTTCAAGACTTCAGTATATGACTCACGAACAACATCAAACTACTACTCAGTAACAAAATAAACAAGCTCGTTGCTTGCACAGTCGCATCGGCGCGACCAGCACTGGCCTTCACCAATATCGGATGCTCATTGGCCTTCGCTTGCAAAAATTGATTGCAACTCGTTTCGTTCTTAATGAACTTAAACACCGTCTCGGCTACATTGGCTGGTGTAATTTCGCGACACTGCTCCAAATGGTGTATGGTGCAGGCTTGGAAACGTTCCAGATCGACACAATGACCCGGCTCCAACACCAAGTCGGGCAAATCGAAGAGATCGGGCACCTTAATGTCCTTGGGCAGAAATTCATGGAATGAGTTGTTTAAGCACACATTGATTGCATCACGATTCGCTTCCAAGCACTCGGGACCCTCTTCGGCAACGAAAAGTGCTATATGATCGCCGCCACGCGAACACATGAAATCCACCAGTCCTGTGGCGATGCGCATGAGCACGACATTCTGTTGTTTCTCCTTGGCGCTCAGACAAGGTTGCACTTTGGCATTAAAGTCGCGCAGACACTTGACAGCGCTTGGCGCCTTATCACAGTATTTATTGAATACTGTGTCCAGCTCGCCGATAGGGCGTGCCGCTTCGATTTCTTGCTGCAACGCTGTCATATTGGCCAAACCAGCTAGACAGCTGGTCAACACAGTACTGCCTTTCTCAATCTCCTGATACAGTGTGGAGTTCTCCACACCGCCCGCCGCCTTTTTACACTTTTCGCGCAGCACTTTCTTCAGCTCATCTGTTTGGTGGCAGAAATTGCATGAAATTTAGTTAAACCAAACTTGGTTGCTTAAAAATTATGCCACATAGTTTTATTGCTACGTACCCACTGTAAAATTGCGATTCTTGTACTCAGCAGGCAGAAATTGACTCTTCAGCGCGTCTAATTGACTATTTGACGCCGCTGCTTGACCTTTGCACTGTAGGCAGATGGCTGCGATCGCCACCGCGATCGCACATAGCAATTGCAGTTTGTGCATTTTCCTTCCCGTTACACGTTTATTGTGGATTTTCGACTCCGTTTGTGCGCGACGCGTATCGAACTAAATTGGCGCTGACTTGAAGCGATTACCAACCGCTCCGACTTCAAGGTAACCCATTGGGACCGCCAATATAAAGGCATATAAATATTTATCTTATCTTATCAGCAAATGCCGATAGCATATCAGGCATAACGGTATATGTGTGTGAATCTAATGGGCGTCATAAACTCAAAGAGCACACCGCTAGGTGACTGCAAAAGTAGTTATGTTTCTACATTTTGTTTTTGGGAAACGCTTTGAGCTGTATTTATCAGTCCACATATATTTTTGTAATTCAGTTTTTAGTTCGATTAGTCATAAGAATTCTTGAGAAACTTGTTTTCTGTATTTTGTGGTACTCGATCCAGGTGAAATTTCTCCAATGGAGAGCTAGACCAAAATATTGAAATTACAGGCTCTTCTTCTTTATTGGTCGCTAGTCGTTCTTATTTTTCGCTGCTTGGCGCCAGTTGGAGATTTCAAGCAAAGCCAGGCCCTACTCCACCGGGTTTTTCAACTTAGTGGCGGTCTTTCTCTTCCTCTGGTTCTCCCGACGAGTACTGCGTCGAATACTTTCAGAGCAGAAGTATTTTCATACATTCGGACGACACGACCTAGCCACCGTAGCCGCTATATTCGAATTCGCTGAACTATATCAATGTCGTCGTATCTCTCATACAGCTCATCGTTTCATTGAATGCGAAATCCCAGGTTGGTTGAAATACCAACATACAGAGACTTTGTTTTGTGCAATAAAATTTATTGTAAATCTGTGCGAATACATACCTAAACCCAGAGGTTTATCCACTACACTCTGCCGATTAGTCAACTAAAAATATTCAGACCTAAAAGGCCTGCCTGATGTAGACTGTAGACTGGCTGAATCAACTTCCTTTTCGAAGTCGTTTCAACTTAACTGTATAAAAGCCCTAGACCGAATTCCACTGCTCGCTAAAAACGTTCGAGAGTTCGGTCTGGTCCGCTTTGGCCAGCATCAATTTCTAAACTTCGCTTCGGGAGCTGTTTTCACCCATAAGGACCACAGACAAAATACCAGCACCGTTGACTGTAAAAGACTTCAAGGCTCTCGCACTTCACCCGAAAGATTATAACCATATTTGTATACTTCTAACGTCTAAAAGACTAAACGGAAGATTTTATGTAAGTTTCTTCGCGAACAACTGCGGACCGTTATCTACCGCCGCATTATTCGATATACCTAACTGTTTATAGTATATATTTGTGTATTTTGCTGCCAGACAAGCAGCTTCGCCACAATTGGTAGCTACAGTTTACAAACACATACATTGTCACTCGATAAATGAGCTTTTTTATTGCTCATCTTGCTTAGGTTCTATTTATTTGTTTTGCAGTTATCAGTTCATCGGTTTTTGTGTGCTGATAAGATAAAAAACCATATATTTTCAGGTAGGGGGGACATATTGTGGCGCAACGTCAAAGATCAAAGTACAAGTCTATCATGAGTCTGATATTTACTAGAGACTGCAGTCATCAGCAACTATTGCGAAATGTGTTACTTTGTATAAAGAAAGTAAATACTCCGCGGATGTAGTAGTTGTTTTGTAATATCTCTTCTACATACCTTGTGAAGAGACTTCTTAAGAGTCAGATTAAACCGTCGGAATGGTGGAAGCCGATCTATGTGGCTGCCTTGTATTCTGTCCTGGCTCTACCCCGGCTGATCGTGTAACTGCAAGAACTACAAACTTTGCAGTCTCATTGTGAGTATATTCGGGTTATAGAAAATATTTTCGAGAAAGAAGTCACCTAATTTTAAAGATTCGATCGATTTCTTGGCGAAACATCCAATGTCAAGCGCCAAGTTAACTGACTCTGCTTGACTGTTGCGGCTCATGTTAGTGGCCAATCATGTGACCTTCAAGGTGTGCAGCCCGTGAATCTTAGGGGTGTACAACTGTGACCAAGTTGATGCTTCGCACAGTAGTTCAGAGCGGTAGCGAAACGGTTGTATCGAAAATTAGAAGGAGATGAGTCAAAGATTTCTTAGTAAATTGTTACCTACTGGGAATGAGGGAGAAATAATTTGCGACTTGTCGGAAATGTTTCTATTAAAACATACCAAGAAATATAACAAAAGTAATAATATTAATTGCTTTTTACACATCATCTTATTTTATCTACCGTGTCATCGAAGTGATAAGGTACAAGAATGCATAATAAAATTAACTACAATTTAAGGATGGTCTCTTAAAAGATACTCAGTTACGATGCGACTTAGAAGCATTCAAGGCTGCTGCTTGCAGCTAGTTTGGATCAGCACTTGGACGGTCCAGTACGCAGTCGCCAAGGACGAACCAAAGTCGAGTTCGTTGAGGGAAGAACTGTTTGTAGACCGACGTCCACGTGAGTTTGCATTCTGCTCCTTTAGTTTTTTTTTTCTGGCAACTTGAAAGTTATCTTACTACAACTTTGCTTTAGCGCCGAGTGAGGAAGCTGTACACAAGCTTATCGCGCAAGAGTTGCCATCACTGCCGCTGGATTTTATGAAACGGCATCGCAACGATAATTTGCGTCTCAACGACAGCTGCGCGCCCTATCCCGACTTGATGCAATTGGAATACCACAATAATTATTGGCAAGTACTTCGCAGCGAACCGCTGACTTTCTACCTCTTTGGCGCTTATTATGACAACCGGACAGCTGTGGTGCGCCGGGAAGGCGCGGCGTTGGTGCGCATACTCGCTACCACCAATGTGATTGACATTGACCATAAAGACTATCCTCCCAGTTATTGCCAGTTATGGTATGAAGAGCACAGTGTGCCGTTCATTGTGCCGGTGCGCGAGTACCGTGAGATCTGGTATAAGGAATGGGCTGATAGTCCTGAACTTTATTTTCCCAAATTCGTTGAGTGCGCATTGCCGGTGGAAGTGCAATATTTAGTGCCGAAAACTGTTTCCCTAGTGGCGTCGGAGTGTGCGCATGCCACAAACAATCTGCGTGTGATCTATGAACCGCCAGTAAATCAAACTCAACGTGGTTTCGCGGTTTGTTCGACGGGTCTCTTCAATCCATATCGGGATAACTCGGTGCGTTTGATTGAATGGTTAGAGCTTTTACGCCTATTGGGTGCCGAACATGTAACATTACCTACGTTCGGCATACATCCGAATGCCACTAAAGTGCTGCGACACTACGAAGCTGAAGGTTTTGTTTCAGCACCGGGTGTATCACTAACACGCGGCGAACCCGCTTTGCCACACTTCAGTTATGAGGCGATCAAAGCTTGGTATAACAACCATTGCGTCAATGAGCTGATACCATTGAATGATTGCTTTTATCGCAATATGTACAAGTATGATTACATAGTTATAATCGACATAGATGAGGTGATCATGCCAGTGGGCATACACCGCAGTTGGTCAGACGTGGCACAAACCGCTGAGGCGAACTCAGGCTCTGATGATTGTGCAGATGGCGCGACGTCACTATGCTTTCGTAATGTCTACTTTCCAGCTTATCCCGAACGCAAGCCGTTTAGCGATGCCGTGCCACATTATATGTACATGATGCAACATGTGGCACGCGTAGCCGATCATCTGGAGCCTGGTTTGGCTACGAAATGCTTTCACAGTGCACGTTATGTAACCGGTGTACACAATCATTATCCAATGAATTGGGCGGGTGGTTGTAGTATCTTAGCCGTCAACGAGTCCATAGGTCAAATGCAACATTATCGTGAACCTGACATACCCGAGACGCTAGAGAATCCTGTCATAGATGATCTGATATGGCGCTATAAGGAGCCGTTAGTGGAGAGAACTCAAGCCGTATTGCGGCAACTGGGACTTCTGCAGTGGGTGCCTGATACACCAGAGGCTGTAGTGAAAGATACACCAGCAGAAAGCACAAGCATTCAACAAGAAGAGAAAGTCGAGCCTACAGGGGATTCCAAGGCTAATGTGGATTTGGATTCAGCTGAAATCACCAAAACGCTAAGCTTAGCTGAACATATTGAACTTTGATTTGATTTGAAGTTGATTCTGGTTGTTGTAGTGTTTAGATGTACATAATTCTAAGACTTGGAACGTGCTTCCGAAAACAACGATGAGACAATAAAGCGATTTTAGTGATTCTTATCTTTTGTAAGGTCTTGCGTATATTTGGAATTCATTATTTCCATCTCTGAAATTGCGATTATGTTGGTATAGTTTCTAAAGTATGGCATAGGTGAGCTACCAAAAGAATGTTTTCTGGAAGAACTTTATTAAATACCATTTTTAGGAGGGTGTTATGTAGGAGTACGTATTAGTACTATGATTATAAACTTCTTTATTGGCGTAGACACCGCTTACGTGCTTATAGCCGAGTTTACAACAGCGCGCCAGTCATTCTGCCTTTTCGGTGTTTGGCGCGAATTGAGATTCCAAGCAACCCAAGGCCTCCTTCTCCTTCTGGTCTTTCCAATGGAGTGGAGGTCTTTTTTTTCCTCTGCTTAACCGCGGGGTTTTGTGTCGAATGCTCTCCAAGCTGGAGTATTTTCATCCATTCGTATCCGCTGTCTCTTAATTCGCTACGTCAATACGCAGTACAGCTCGTCGTCCCATCAACTGCGGTATTCACCATTGTCTATGCGTAAAGGATCGTAAATCTTTCGCAGCACCTTTCCCTCGAAAGCCAATATTTGTTTGAGAATAGGTGTGATTATGAGTATAATTGTGAATATGAGTATAAGTATGGGTATGAGTATAAATAGAGACTATAAACACAAATATAGTATAAATATCGGTTGCCTATATGCCTATGTGAGTTTAAGTAAATTATTATATAATAATAATACCATCTATTAAAAAAAAAATATAAGCGGAAGTATTGCACCAAGCACTCACATAGTGCACTCAAATCACATAAAAGGTGCCATAAAAATATAAGCAGTGAAAATTTATCGCTTCAACAAATGTTGCAAAGTCATAAGATTTTATAAACATACATCTGTACGAGTATGTAGGTTTATACATACGTATGTGTATGAAGTGTGTACCTTTGGGGAAAAA